AGTCTAACACGGGTCAGGGTGACAAACATTATGATAAAGATGTGCACCAGGTGTTAGGAGAACAGAAGGAGCAGGGACGATGGGGAGGAATTTGAGCAGATGTCTTTGAGTTGGATTTTGAAGGAAGAATATGAGTAAGTAACCTAGATGATTAAAGAGGTGAAAAAGTACTACTTCTACCATATATTTTAAAAAATATTCATTTACTTAATAAATATTTATGGATGGTCAAATAAACATTTACATTTGCAGGGTACCATGTGATGAGAAGAATCATTGCTTCTACTCTTCCAAAGCATACAGTTCAAGCAGGACAAAAAAAAGAGTCTGTAAAGAAGCCCCAGATACAACACAGATTGATTTGGAGAACTTCAGGTATAACTGGAATAAACCATGGAGCTGCCCCAAGGAGATGCCAGAAAAGCATGTGTCCTTGAGGTCCTTACATTACTAGTTTTAGAGAATGATCTTTATCCCCAGAAACTAGGGGCCAAAGAGACAGCAAGGAAGGCAGTTAGCAGACTAATTCAGTACAATACACAAGAAGGGATGGAGAGTCGAACTGAGCATTATATCCTGAAATACATTTCAAAACGCTGAGGATTGATGTCCTGATCGCCAACCTCTCCAACTCTCTCTATATCCCTGATCAGTATCGATTTCCTTTTACCACTTTCCTAAAATGGTTTACTCTTTGAAAATGAAACCTTTGCATTTATTTTAAACAGAAAATAGAAACTGTTAAGAAGACAAATTTCACATCTGTTTGCTGTTCTTGCATCTAAGCATGAATCAAAAGCCACATTCTTAATTGTTTTCATCCCATCTCAGTAGAAGAGACATTAGTATCCTCTTCAAGGCTAATCCCCCACCAGACCTCTAAATTCACATCTCTTCAAGAAACTTGCTTCCCTCTGATTTGTGTATCTCTAAACTTACCCTTTCTTTTAACTCTTTTTTCTCTTATTTAAGTCCTTCTACAATCCCACGTCTCTCTACTTTATCACTTCTTCCTCATCCTCAAGATTCATGACAATAGATGTCATTAATGAACTCCTTTTCCTTGCTTCCCATTTGTTCCACAGTGAAATTAGCTTTCTAGAGGCACAACTGTATTTGAACCATTGTTATCAAGTTCAATGAATGTATTCATAAGTGTCTTTTGTATTTTTATATTTAATTTCCTGGTATGTTATGATGCTTATATTTCAAATTCTCATTTCTAGAAATAAATGAAGTACATATTTTACTGATTTTTAATAAGTTCTTGTCATATCCAGTGACCTCATATGAGGTTCAATTTCTTTGTAAGAAAATTAGAAATTTAGCTGATTAATCAATCAAAATGCCTCCTAGTGGTCACAGGATTGCTGAAACAGTCTTATATTATTGTCAATAGCCAGATCAAGTACATTGTATTATATCATGTACATATAAGTCAACAGTTAAAGGGTGACACATTAGAGCTTTCATTTATTTTCTATTAAGTCAATTTTGATGAAAACTTAACAAGAAATTGTACCACTGTGGCAGATAACCTCTAAGATGCTACCCAATGATTTCAACCTCCTAGGATTAACACTCTTGTGTGATTTCCTCCCCCTGAAGGTGAGTTGGAACGATCAATCAGTTATATTAAATAGAATAAGTTATGGGATATCACTCCAGTGATCAAGTTATTAAAAAGTCTTGGGCATGTATTTGCTCTCTCTTCATAGATCGCTTGCTCTGGAGGAGGCCTGCTGCCATGAGACAGCCCTATAGAGACATCACATGGCAAAAAACTGAGAAAAGCCTCTGGCCAACAGCCAGCAAGAAATCAGTGTCCTTAGTCCAACACCTGTGAGGGAGTGAGACCTGCCAAAAACCTAGTGAGTGGGCTTAGAAGGGTATTGTCCCCAAATGAGGTCTTCAAATTAGACGGCAGTCCTACCTGATAGCTTATCTGCAACCTCTGAGAGACCTAGAGCTACAGACACTCAGATAAGCCATACCCATACTCCTGACCCACAGAAAATATGAGATCATAAATGATTTAAAGTACAAAATGTTTTTAGTTTTAAAGTACAAAATGTGGGAGAAATTTATCATGCAGCAATAGATTAAGTAATATAACATATCTGACTTTATTTCAAAGAGGAACCTCTTCTAAATAATGAATAACTGATCACCCTTTTTTGTATTATTAAAAAAGTTGTGACTCTTCTCAGTGATATATTGTCCGTTAGTCCTAGTTAAAAGAGCAATGATTATTTATGGTTGACCAGGAAGTAATAACTGCAAGTAGGCTATTAGAAATCCAGGACAAATCATTTTTGAATCTGGATTTCCAAAAGAAGGAATAAAACTAAGACTGTAATTTGTAAAAACCAGTGACTATAAATGCACCCCAGTTTAACAGATGAATGAGTGTCTTAGAATACTATTTGCAAAGAGGAAGGGTTATCGATACAGGTAGCATCTCTCTAATGAGGTAGTTCACCTAGCCATCACTAATTAGTCATCTCTGGAAGAGATATTTTTGCCTAGATTTTAGTAAGCAGCATGATTGTGTCCTGCTGAGAGGGGACCCAAGTGACAGACCTAATACCTGCAACCTTCAACCATCTGAGGAAGCAGAGAAATGGCACAGGTATCAAAGTGGTAAATACTTGAGAACATGGAAGAAATGGAGAACTGCCTTCTCTTTGAAATAAGCAGAACAAAACTAGCAGAACAAGCAGGCATTCACTGACAATAGAGCATAAGAATAACAACTGTGAAGTTAAAAGTATATTGAAATTATCCTGGGATTCAGCATAAATATGCAGAAAGTTTGAGAGGGAGCTCTAAGGTAGCCAGCCTCAAAAATAAGGTAAATACATAGTTTACTCATTAAAGTAATTCAATATATTGATCTTGGAATTATTTATTTAAAAACCATTTTAGGGCTTCCCTGGTGGCTCAGTGCTTGAGAGTCCGCCTGCCGATGCAGGAGACGCGGGTTCGTGCCCCGTTTCGGGAAGATCCCACATGCCGCGGAGCGGCTGGGCCCGTGAGCCATGGCCGCTGAGCCTGCGCGTCCGGAGCCTGTGCTCCGCAAATGGGAGAGGCCACAACAGTGAGAGGCCCGCATAACGCAAAGCAGTGAGAGGTCCGCGTACCAAAAAAAAAAAAAAAAAAAAAAAAAAAACCATTTTAAATATGCCTGTTCCAAGGTAAATTAGGAGAAAAAAAAGTCCATGAAATATATTCGAAATAGAGAGTAAGTAAAATCATACCTCATCAACTAAAGGGAAGAATTAGAGTTGAGCTAATTCTCTTTGTAATGAGAGTAATCTCACAATAAGTAAGATGGTTTGGCAATTGTGTGGAGATTTATTTCCTTCATAGTTTAGGCCGTAGTGAACCCATGACTATTCTTATAGCTTTCTAATTGCTTTTCCAGTCCATATTCTGTTTCTCAATAATTTTACCCACACTTATAAGATTTATTTTTCCAAATCATATATCTCACTATGCTTGTTGTCTGCACAAAATCCGTAATAACTCCGCCCTGACTACTAAATAGCTAAGCTTTCACAACATTGCAAAGGTCTCCCTGCAGAGTGGCGAAGCAGGCAAACTATGTGTCCAGCTTCCCAGGTTAGTATTTTGGCTTCACTACTTATCAGTTATGATATGATGAGCATGGTAATTAAAATTCTCTATATTTTAGTTTCCTTATCTATAAAAAACAGGATAACAATTTTAATGAGTGCAAATGTTTATTGTGAACATTAAGAGAAATAATCCATCACGTGTTAGGAATAGTGTCCTGGTCCATTATGAGTACTTCATAAATATTAGCTATTACTTTATTATTGATAATATTGCTGCTCTTTGAAATTCAAAGTAACCTAAGATTATGAGTGTCTGCCATCTGATAGAAGATTTTATATATGTTATCTCATTTAACTTGAACTACATATTTCTGAAATAGGAATTATTATTCCTATTTTACAGATGAGGAGAGCAAGATCTAGACATTTTAAGTGACTTCTGTAAATTCTTACAGTGACTGACTGCTACAACCAAATTCCCACCCAGGTTTCCTAACTTCATGTTGAGAGCATTTTTTGCTGCATAAGAGTTTTGCTTTCTGGGCTTGTCACCTACTGCTCCACTGTGAAGAATACGGGGTAATAATGTTGGCTATGAATTTGAACACCAGCATAACCAGTTACTTGTAATTCATACAAACTCACTGAGGTTCAGTTTTCTCAACTGTGAAAGATGGATAATGATGCTCATTTTTATAAATGTATTAAAAGGATTACTTCACTTAAATAAGTATAGTAGCTGGTGTATATCATGTGCACAATTTTGTTACTTTATATGAAAATATTTACATTTTTATTTTGTTAAATTTATCTTAAGACCATATTATCCTCACATCTTACATTTTACTTCCTCATTACCAGTGCTTTAATCTTCCCTATGCTTATCTCTGTCTATTGAAAATGTACACTTCTTTCATAGAGAAACATTTCCCTTTTTCCCAAAGCATTGCCTTATCCTCCAAATAGTCAGAGATGCACAATCCCTTGCCAATCTCTGTGGAGCTAGATATGCTTCACCATTCAGAATTTTGTCTTACTTTAGAAAGTTAAAAGAGGGTATGTCTTGTATATTATGTGACATCCCCAGGAAAGAACTGAAACAGAATCCCATAATTAAACATAGTAATATTTTTGCTGTAAATAGTACAGATGTTCACACTCATTTGTATAAATAAAGACTATACATATGTTCATATCAGTTCAGGCCAGATATTCTAACACATGTAGATCAGGTTAGCATGTGTTGGCAGATAGTTACGTTTAAAACAATTTTGTGTTCAGTTGTTTAGATTTTAGAATTGCACATAAAGAATTGTAGATCTGCATGAATTCCTTCCACCCACCGCCCTTACCAGGTTTGTTAGGTTCCTTCTCGAGGTTATGTGGTATTCTGTCTAGCATGATTGTGTATTTACTCACCTTAGCCTTTGTTATTCTTAAGGTCTCTAAGGGCAGGAAGTGTGTCTTCATATTTGTATGTTTTTCAGGATCAAGGATGTTCTTAAATCCTACTAGGTGTGTTAGGCATACTTTATAAACAAGAAACTATCACCAATATTCCAAATGTGTAGATAGTGCTAAAAGCACTTGTCTTCCAAGTATGGCAATGCTTCTTTTCACTGGCATTAATATACACTGAGGCATTATTCAAGCAAATTTCTTTGGAAAGAAACAGAGTAAATTATACTGGTATTAATTTCCAAGAAGATCTCATAAAGAACTTAACCTACTGATGGTCTGCCTGAATTAGGATTCTAGAGGAGGTAGGTAATGCACCCAAGTTTCAAATTTTAATATAAATTTGAGAAATTAGGACATGATGGGGGAACATTCTTAGCATCTTATTTTGCAATTTGCCGGTAAGCCGTTTAAAAGTCAATGATGATACTCTGACTAAAATTGATTTCATGCTATGTGTTTGTGAACCTTTTTCTTCTGAGTTACGATTTACTTTATAATAAACATAGTAATTCTTTCCATCTCACCTATATGTTGTCCATACATGTGATAAAAGAAGCTGAAACAATATGCAGTGTTCGTGGGTCCATAAGGGTTTTTGGGAGCTATGCTGAAAACAGGGCTGAGAAGTCGAGCCTTTTCTCCTTCCAATCTGGGTCTAGATGTCTCAATGTACATATAAAAACCTTAAAAAAGACAAAATAAAATGTTTAAGCAAATTATTATTAGGTAACATGAAATTTAAAATCACTGAGAAGTTTTAGAGTTTTCATACAAAGTAAAGATTGATAGGAGAGTCTGCATCTCATTTATAAAATGTATATATACAAACATAATATAAAGAACAAATAATCTATATAAAGATAAAATTGTTTAAAATGTATAAAAACTTGAGACAAAATTGGAATTTTAGACTTGAATTATCAAAAAAAAAAAATTCCTAAACTCTCTATACATGTCAGTGAGTTCTGAGTGAAAATTAATGATTACAGACTTTGGAAATATCTGAATTATTTGTATGGTACATAAAAATTTCATGTTTTATTCCAAAATCTTCAAATCTATTGCTAAACATTATCTTGCATTTCGTATTAACAGCATTTCTAAAAAGTCCAAGGCTGGAGTATGATTGTTATGAACACAACATTTCATACCCTCATACCTTCTTTGGAGCCACTACGATCAGCGTTAGGTCCAGTGTTTGGAGTATATTTTGTATTTCTTGTTGCAGTACTTTGCTTTGTCCAGTCAAAATTGTCTGTATCATCTTGGGTAAACAAACAAATGTTACCATCTTCAAATCCACAGTGAAATTCTCCTGTTGACAAATTTTAATTAAAATAATTAAGATAAATTAAATGAATACAAATATTGCAATATTCTTATAAGAAAAATTTAAAACATTATACAGCAATAATAATGCAAGATTGCAGTAATGGCACCATAGCCAAAATAATGCACAAGATGATGACTAAACTTAAAACTATTTCAATTTTAATGAAAATGAAAAATAATCTTGATATGTAAGTCAGTCTCTTATTTAATAATTTAAACCCAAACCATTTTCCTCTGAAATATCCAGATAATTGAAATTAAAGAATACAATGCATGCTTGAATTATGGCTGAAGAATTTCCCTAACTTTCATTGTTCAAGTATAGGTACAATCCAAACAAAACTGTCAATTAGAAAAAGATCTTTATTAATTTACCCAACAGCACTTTAAAGCTGTATACCTTGAGGTTACCATTTTTCACTCCATGTCTTGAGATGCTTTCATGTATACCCATTTGCACAAATGGAAGTTTACTTAGGGGAAGATAATGGCAAATTATTTTTAAAAGTAGTTATCTTTCATGCTTTATTTGAATGCAGATTTGCCAGGTGCTTGAAATTCACTAGAAATAAAGTAATGAAGAGAACTTTATGAAGACCCTGTGGAAGGACTGGGATTTCTTGGATGCCAGCCACATACTGAGTTAAGGCCCAACAACAAGTTCACTGAGAGCTTTCCTTAAGTGTCCCTGAAATGAGGGTGGTAGTAATATTTCTAGGTATCAAAAGGTTTTCTTACTGGGATGGACCCTGCTTGAAACAGGGGGGTAAATAATGGAGTTTATAATCTCCACTAGATACAAAATTAAAATTATCCTTAACTGAGAAAAAAAAAACATAGTTTATATTATTTCATTCAAACTTATAAGAACTCTATGAAAATACAGAAATGCTAATTCATGAGGCTCGTGTAGGAGAAAGCTTTGGCTAATTCCAGCTAGTAAATAATGAAGTCAAAACTGAGTACAGATTCCCTGCAATTCATAAAGATATAAACACCTAAATAATAAAAACTCCCCTTTTTTCCCCCTGCAATGCATCACATTTATCAGATATTCCTGGGAGTGGAGTCCTTGAAGTTCGGATCATGCCTTTGAATTAATCTGTGTGTTTATATACACTAACAATGAACTATCAGAAAGGGGAATTAAGAAAACGATCTCATTTTCAGTAGCATCAAAAAGAATGAAATACTTAGGAATAAACTTAGCTAAAGAGATGAAAGACTTGTACATTGAAAACTATGAAACATTGATGAAAGAAATTAAAGACACAAATAAATGGAAAGATGTCTCATGTTCTTGGATTGGAAGAATTAATATTGTTAAAATTTCTATACTACCCAAAGTGATCTATATATTCAATGCAATCCCTATGACAATGCCAGTGGCGTGTTTTTTTTTTTTTAATAGAAATAGAAAATATTCCTAAAATTCTTATTGAACCACAAAAGACCCCAAATTGCCAACACAATTAGGAGGAGGAAGAACAATGTTGGAAACATCACACTTACTGATTTTAAAATATATTGCAAAGCTACAGTAATCAAAAGAGTATAGTAGTTTTATACTGTTGGTGGCAATGTAAATTGGTACAGCTATTATGGAAAACAGTATGAAGGTTCCTAAAAAAACCTAAATACAGAACTACCATATTATCCAGCAATACCTCTTAAGAATATATAACCAAAGGAAATGAAATGAGTACCTCAGAGAGATATGTGCACTCACATGTTCACTGCAGTATTATTTGCAATATATGAGAAATAGAAACAACCTAAGTGTCCATTAATGGACTGTATTTACTTTTAATCTTCTCATGACAACTGTTTTTAAACATTTCTACTGGAAGTGCAGTCAGAGTACTTACCTTCAAAAGAATTATAATCAATATAGTAACTAATTAGCAATAGGACCCTGGGTAGAAGCCAGGGAGAACCTGATTTATGCCATTAATTCATCTTGAAACTGTCATGTATTTGTTCTTTTAGCAAATGATCATTGAACACCTGCTAAATATGAGATGCTGTGATAGACACAAAGATAGTGAGATGTAGAGAGAAATTAGAAACAGATTTAGTTCTTAAGTATCTTACAGTCTACTGGAGGATATGAGAAAATCAAAAATAGCTTCCACATAGATGAAGATAAATTGTTATGGAAAATCAAAACGAGGGAATAATTAATGGAGGAAGAAGTATTTGTGCTAAACATTATAAGAAAAATGAACCTCAAAGAGTTGGTAATAATATCCACATTAAAGGGTCATTGTGATGACTAAATGAACTTTTATGCACTGAAGCAAGATGTGAACAATAAAGATCTATAAAAATATTCATTATTAGTATTTGGATATGCAAAAGTGGAGTAAAAGAGGATCTTTGGTAAGAAATACAGCAAGAACAGGGGTTACAGAATTTGGTCTTTGTTATATAATCAGTTAAAGGCCATTGCAGAAAAGAGAATACAGTAAAATGAGAAAAAAGATTTGGACATTTTCTTCGCTAAGTATAGGAAATTGAGAATGTTGAATGGATATGCGTAAGAGTATAAAGGTGGCTATTCTCTTTTGTTAGCCAAGAACAATATATTGCTAGACACAAAATAGAAGACAAAAAATCAATTCTTAATTTTAAAATGAAATATTATCAAGAGGATGGTGCTCAGATTACCTTCTTCTTCATAGAAGATTGGGATATAGAATAATGATCCATGAAAAATCTTGCTTAAACCATTCAAATACTAACTTTCTAAGTAAATATAATATTTCATGAGTGGAATGTAGAAATCAAAGAATGAAAATTAAAGAAACAAATAACAGCAATACAAATAATATGCAATGCCACAAAAGAAACAACAGTTTATTATTTGTAGTTTACACAAATAGCATTTGTTATTTGTGTAAACTACAGTTACACAAATAACAAATGTTAAGCATGTTGGGGAAATGGCTCCATATTTAGGAAAAGTCAATTATCAACATTAAATTATTTGTCTTTACACCCATATCTTTTGAAATTTAAAATTTACAATTATGTCAGTTTTACTGTTCTAAGCCATTCTATTTTAAACCAAATATGAACAGTTGCTAAATAATCTTTGTATGTTTACGCATTTTCTATTTTTCTTAATTGTCAAATACTGTGCCATTTTTAAAGTGAAAATATACTTACTCAAATGAGGATTAACAGGAGCTACAAGAAAAGCAAAAAATAATGTTAGCATGGCTTGAATGTCTTTTATAAATCAAAGTCTAATCAGTGTTTCATAGTGCCTAACCAAAACTTAATGATCTTGCCCACTGTGGCCATGGAGAATTATATCTGCAATCCATTTTGTTCTAGAGGATTGAATAGAATCTACTTTGTAGCTCAGCAGTAACAGCCTCAAAGTACCCAAAAGATCAATGCTAAATAGCTGTGGGATTTGTTCATTTTCCAAGGAATGGAGTTGCTGATCTTTTATATCTTAACCAGTGCCAAACAAAACCGAGAAATCAAAACTGAGGCTGACAACCTATAATCTAGATGTTTAACAATGAATGCAATTATCCAACAGAGATTACACTTTAGTTTTTTTTTTTTGCTGTTATCTACTTCTGGTGAAACTAAAGCAATCCTCATATCATGTCATTATGTGTGTCCCAAAACAAATAGCTACTTTGATGCTGCTTTAATTACATTCACACACACACACACACACACACACACACACACACACACACACACTCAGTCTTCAAATGCTAAGCAATGCATTTGTATTTTCATGTACCAGAATAAATATTTATCTCAAAAAACTAATTGTGTTTGCAATATAAGTGCCAATTGACTTCTACCTGAAGAAGAATGAATACTTTAAATATTACTGAAACAGCAACAAAAATATGTCTAATCTAAGAGACAAAATGGTAGCTGTATATATCGATTAGGCATTTATCACTCTGAGAGAAAATTCCATTCTGGATAAAAGAAAGCATTATTGCAAGTCTCCCAAGATTACAATGGACAGTTAATCTAACCTCCAGAAGGTTGTCTACTTTGTTGTTAATTCCTAGTATTTGCCATTAACCACTTTTGTTAAACTTGGACATACTAGTAAAGTATGATAGTCAAAAATACACACACATGCATGAAGTTCATATATAATTGTTAAATTTAGTACACTGAGATCAATTTTAACAAAGTGATTAGTTTCTCAATAAGTTACTTTTTACTATTTCTACATTGAGAAGACAGACTATTCTCATTATTTTAGTTGTTCTAATTGTTCATTCCCCATTGTAAATTATGAAATGAATAACACAGAGAAGGGACTATACATTTATTAGTTCCACTGAAGGGGAGAAAAAATAATTCCCTTTCTTGCAAAGTATTGGTATATTTTAATTTGAAAATTAATTGTTAAAAATTATTTCATATTAGAATAATATGAAGTTACAATTTTTATATATTGTTTTTGAAAGAAGAAACAGCTTTAAATTATAATTTAGTTCTAAGAAATGTCACAGCTACATGTAACCTGTGACCAGACTGAATTTTGAGACTTCTCCTACAATATTTTAGTCACCAAATTCACTATAAATATCGCAATTAACCTTGTGAAAATTTGCCATTCTAAATTTGAAATATTGCAGTGAGTCTATTTTTCTTTTTTCAAACTAGCATGTCAAATTTCTTATAGATGCCTATATACATTATTTGCTTATATACACTAAAGTATACTTTACCCAAGTCCATATTATACAGAAGTAATTTTTAATTAAAATGTTTAAGATTTTAATAAGCATGCCTAAGATATAAAGATAATTAAAGAAAGTTGGAACTAAACATAATATCTATTTTCCAGATTTATTTTTCATTTCATTTGTTACCTCAGAGTTTTCAATAAGAACTACTGAGTTTATGAAGATTTTCTTCTATATCTCTGTAAGACAAGTTCTAATAATTTCTAAACTTAGCAAATAAGATTTCTGTCATGGAGGAGTGAGCCCTAGTTTTAGTCAGTTAGTCATTTCATAGTTGTTTAACTCTACAGGACACAAACTTTTTGGGTCTTAATATCTTCATCTTTTAAAGGAATGGATAGTAATCATGGTTTCCAATGCCCCTTCATATTACATAGTTTACAGTTTTACAAACTTAGGGGCAGGGAGCATAAATACTAGTTAGGAGGAGATAATTCATATTTTATAAAAACGTATGACACTAAAAATTTAGAAAAATATACTGGGATGTTATCTAGTTGTTTGCTCGATGGAATCATGACGGTGATTACAGAATAACAATTGCTCTTCTGCAATAATAGTTATATCACTAACAAGAAAGTGTACATTTTTAAAAGAATCATATTCAAGAAAATATACAGTGATTCTAATGCTTTTACATTCCTTGATCTTGTATGAATATTCCACTATACATTATATATTTCAATTTTTTAATGAAAATTGAATATATAATGCCCAATGTGTACTCTGACTGATGAGAGTGAAGAAAAGTGACTTCACAACTCTAATGAGTTTTTAATAATTTTTAATAATTTCACTTTATTTTTTACTTCTGACAGTATTCACTGTTACCCTCTTAAGTAGGAAAAAATACTTAATGCTAAACAGAATGGAGAACTTCAGCTGCAAAAAACCTCATTCTGTTATCTTTTTTTAACTCAAACCTTAACAATCAATAATAAAAAGAATAATATTCCACTGAAGTAATGAAACACATATGAAATATTTTGCCAGTGACTTATTCAACCTTGAGAAATACATTGATGATTTTAGAGATAGTCTTTGAATATTATAAATTTCAACCAAAAAGATGTACATAAATTTCAACCAAAAAGATGCACATAAATTTCAACTGATAAAATATTAATCTGTCAGGTATATGTTAAAAATAATATCGTATCTAATCACCATTATTTCTATTTGAACTATTAGAAAGTTTCTGACCAACTTTTTTTCACAGGTTTATACTATTTTCTACTTTTAAGTAGGACATTTAAATAGTAAAGAAATGTTAAATGCATATTGTTTATAAATGCAAACTATCACTAACATATACACATTAACATTAGTGATCTAAAAGAAAAAAATGACCAAAAAAATCAACTAAGATGTAATTCAATAGGTGAATGGATAAACGAACTGTGGTACATCTACACAATGGGATATTATTCAACAACAGAAAGAAATGAGCTACCTAGCCACAAAAAGATATGGAAAAACTTTAAATGTGTATTGCTAAGTACAATAAACCAGTTTCTAAAGGTTATATGTTGTATGATTCCAAATACCCAGCGTTCTGGAAAAGGCAAAACTATAGATATAAGATCTGTGGTTGTCAGGGTTGGACGAGGGATGGAAGGATAAATAGGTGGAGCACAGGGGAATTTTAGAGCAGTGAAAATATCCTGTATGATACTGTAATGGTGGATAAATAACGTTACACAGTTGTTAAAATTCATATAACTGTACAACACAAATAATGACCCCCCAATGTAAACTACTGACTTTAATAATGTATAAATATTTGTTAATCAGTTGTAAGAAATGTGCCACATTAATGTAGGATGTTAATAATACGGGAAACTGTGACGGGGAGAAGGCATATATGGGAACACCCTGCACTTCCTACTCAATTTTCTGTAAACTTAAAACTGCTCTAAAAAATGAAAAAAACTTAAAATTCAATCACATTTCCTAATTTCTTAATGATATTAATTTTAAAGTCATCAAGAATTTGAAAAAAAATGTATACATACTGCTTCACAACTATGCGATAGAAAATAAAAAGACACTGTGACATTATCACCTAGGTTCAATGTTAATTAAACATTTTTCTATATCTCTATTTATAACCAAATATTACAATTTATGATGATTAAGTATTGTGGGATTTTTTTTTTCACTTGGCTAATGACCCAGAAAGTCAATATGCTAAGTTTTATTTTGTGGCTAAATTTGGTAGATAGTTACAACCTTCTAGAGAGTTTAGTATGCAAATAAATACTTATAAATGAAAAGCTACTTACCACTATATTTGATGACACGAATTGTTGAATCTCCTTCTCCAAATTTGGTGAGAGGAGTCAGTCGGACTTCATAAGCCTCTGGTTTAATTAGCTCAGTCAAGTTATATGTAATTAATTCTCCCTTTTGAATATTCCCATTTATTTTAATCTCCTGTTCCCACCATCGCTGCTGTCCAGCCTGAAATTAAAAGAATTATATAATAATGTTCCTGGTATTTTTAACTGTGTGCTGGTCATGTGGCTAAAAATACTACTGCTGGGGATTCTTTGGGGCCTAGGACAAAGTTATATTCCGTTAGAGATGTACCTTTGTTTCTGATATGCTCCTAGGGGCATCAATAGTATGGTTCACTTTTACTTTGAATATGAAGCCCTTTGGTGTCACAGATTAAAATGGAGATGATCCCTTGCTTTGGGCAGGCCTTGGGTTTTCAATCCTGTCTGCCTCACCACTGCCAAACTATAAGAAAGTTCAAGTTTCGTCATGGTTGGTTAATAGCTGAGGACAAAAGCAATTTGGGTGGGAAATCCCATTTATTACTTTGATTTTCCATTGTCCCTTAGATTTTTACCTAAGGGATGTGTGTACGTGTGTGTGTGTGTGTGTGCGCGCGCCTGCACTATATATATATACACACACATACACACATACATACACACACACACTATATATGTTAATGTGTATATATATACATATTCATATATTTATATATTTGCTTGTTTTCTGAGGGTGGGTTAATCCTAATTACATAGCTTAGCCTGCTATATTTCTGGAAATGAAAATCTCAAGTATGTGCTATTAGCACAGCATTAGACAAATGACAAATAAAATAATGAAATGGAACAGAAAGCCCATATATAGATTTGTGGGGTTGTTCACATAGAAGACATGAAAATATAAACCACTCAATTGGTTACGTACATTAAAAAAAACATAAATGTAATTCCTATTGCATATTTTATAACGAAAAGAAAAAAAAAAGAAAAGGCAGTCTCAGGAGGATCAAATACTTAAATTTAAAAGGCAAAAGTTAAATCATTTAGAAAAAACACAGAAGAATGTCATTATGACCTCAGGTAAGGTGTGACTTTCTTAGAATAGAAAAGCACAATTAGTAAAGGAAAAGATTGATAAATTAGCCAATCTTAAATTTGAAATTAATATTAAATTTAAAATTTTAGCATAAAAATTTCTTCTCATCAGTGATCCTCATTAAACAGGTAAAATAAAGGCAGAGGCTTGAAAAAAGATATTTAGAACAAATACAGTTAATCAGAATATATTAAAAACTCCTATAACTAAATAAGAAAAAGAATTCAATAGCAAAATGAGCCTAATAGGAACAGGTATTTAGTAAATGAGAAAGCCCAAATAACTAATTAGAGAAAAGTCTCAGCCTCACGGTGAATCAAGGAAGTGAAAATTAAAGCCACAATATTATTTCCCAGATAAAAGCTTATAAAGATAACAACATTAAGGTTTGTTGCAAATATAAAACAATGAGAATCTTTATACCTGTCAAGAACCTGGAGTAGCAGAGGGTGGATGGGTAAGATTTTAGTCTACTTACAAGCTAACAAGTTAGCCTGCAACAGTATCATGGGCACAAGCAGAAGAATCCAGACTACTGAGTCAGAGAAAAGGATTCATGACACAGCACAGTACAATCTTTACTTTCAAACTGGTTCCTGTGACGGAGAAGTGTCCAATTGGATTTTGCACATGCCTTCTGTTTGTATCACATCTGTAGGACCCTGAGCTTAAGAGACCTTAGTGTTTTATAACTGACAGTACCCAAGCCTGTCTAACCATTACCCAAGAGGGAGACATTATATTTATTATACTAGATATTAAATGGGCTTTACCTCTGTTCCAGGGGGAGGTGTCTATATTCTAAGGATGTTTGCTATGCAAATAACCTTGAAAAGATAGGCTGGAATAAAAAAGACAGTACCTCTGCACATATGTTATGCAAAAAAGCAAGAGACCTACAGAAAACTGTCTTCTAAAAATATAGTCTTTATGAGTATGTAAATTGGTGTAAGTATAGAGAGCATTTGGCAATAAAAACAGTATTACAATGAGAACAGATAAACTTGTGTACACAGGAAACAGGAATATTCATGGCATAGAAAACACAGAGAATGATCTAAACATCAGTAAGAGATAGAATTATCAAATTGTATACTCTTCATAAAATATAATTTAAAATATAGCATAAAAAATGAACCTAAGCCATAATACATCACCATGGATGGATTTCACAAAACATTGAGCGAAAATTAATTTTAAAGCAGACATATTATAAAATTTAAGTTCAAAATATGCATTTTGATAAGGGATGCATAGATATGTATTAAAGTATAAAGAAATGCAGAAAATAGTAAATGCTATGTTTAACATACTGGTCACATGGATTAGAAGAGCATCAAGAGGAGAAGATGCAATTGTGAGGAGATAACAAAGGACCTAACTCTGGTGATTTTTAGTTTTTAGATTGGTAGCAGGTATATAAAAATACTTATATTATTTTTGGCTATGCCTGAAATATTTCTCTTTGTTTTTCAAAGACAGAATTGAAGAATAAGAGACAGGCAACCATGAGTTTTCTTAAACTCTTTCTCCTTTGAATGTTAAGATTGCACTCTTGTATTGATTGCTTCCTCCATCTACATCTGTGGCAACTCATCTGCTTGCTGGGCTGCTTTTCCTTCTCCTGAGTTCTAAATGTTGATAGTCTCTGGAGTTTTATATTTGGTGTTTTTAATACACTGTGTTAGTGGTTCTCACTTTTAGGCAAGAATGAAAGTCACAGGACAATCTTGTTAAAAACCAAAATTCCAAGTCTTAACCACCAGCATTTCTTCTTCAATGAAGTCTACAGATAATAATTTTTCAGTGAGCTTAGAAATACATTTTTTTTTGTTTAAAAAAGCACCTCCTCCTTTACAGGGTAATTTGGAAGCAGGTGACCCAGGGTCTGTATTTGTTGAGGCACAGCTCAGCCTTGCTAGTTCCACATCATTAATACTAGTGGTTTCTTCTACACCTCTACACTGATTACTCCTGCTACATCTATTAGTCCTTACTATGTGCCAGTCAGGCACCATGTTAACTGTATTATACCTACTATATTTAATCTATCACAACCCTTAGTAGGTAGGAACTAATACTAGCCCTATTATACAAACTGAAGAAGAAGCAAGTTACTGTAACTCTCCTAAGGCTGTCTAGAGAGTAGCAGCTGCAAAATTTGGTTACACCCAAAATGACTCTATCTGGCATCATTTCTTCCTTTGCTTCCCCAGAATTAATTGCTCCCTTAATTGTTTTAACCAGTGTCTTTATATATTTAGTTATAATACACTTAAAAGTACTTTTTTGGCACATAGATTATAAATCAGGAACAATTTCTTATTAATTTTTTTACCTATAGTGTCTGGTCATTAACTAGGTAAAGATGTGACAAGATTAAATTCCAGCACACAGTGTATATTTAACTGACCCAATGAGTGCAGCAGAAAATCTAACTTAGTGATAACTGCATACAGTCACTGAATTTACAAACACTAGTAAAAATGGACCTAAAACCTAAATTGACAGAAAGTACTTTACTCATGCATAGCTGATACCAGACACTACAAAGTTTCCATCAGTTTTGGAGACTAAAAATTCTATAAAATAACATAATACAAATGTCAACTTTTTCAATGTCTTTAGATTTTTAAATTATTATATATGAACTAAAAGCAAAGTACTGTTATTTCAGAAGACAAAAGTAGTTTAAACCCACAGGAATATATACATAATAATTTTATAATTATAATAATACTATTATCTAAAGACATACAAGTTTAATCAAGGTATACTTTTCTGGATGTTAAATATAAGTTTAATACCACTCAATATTTATAGTACATCCCAAGGAGAGACTGGTACTCTGTTGTTATAATGAGATGCTTTACTCAAGTAATTTTAGTTGGCATGTACATTGATGTTGTTACTTATTACAAACTCTGGAGTAGATAACTTCATATGTGTATTAAAAAAGCAATAACTTTGATTCTAAATATTTAATTTAAAGCTATAATGAAAGTATATACTTCAGTAGTTGAGGAATAAGCAATTAAACACTTCATATTGTATCTCAGTGAGCTGTGCAAAATGTAAAAATGGAAAACTAAATGCAATGTTTGCACATACACAAAAGAAAATACAATATTAGTCCACTGTTTGGAGGTAATATCACAAAACCCTCAGAGAAAGTGGACCTAAAACATGACTACAGATGACAGTTCCAGAGCATACCTGGTAAGCATGTTGATATGAAAACAATGTGTAAAGTATTTCTTATCATTTCTATTTGTAAAAAAATTTCATGTAACTTTTTCTGTTCCTAGGAGATATGTTCCTTTCATATAATTTAGAAGACTATTTTCACTATTTGAAGAAGAAATGAGCCATAATTTTTCTGAATGCTAAGATCTGTAACTTGAAACACAGTATCTGGAAATCCTGACTTCTAGAGAGTGAGGCTCAGAACAGTTTTACAGCATGACATGGAGGAGTATTAGAAAGCTATATTCAATAGTAATTGGAGAAAGCATGGATTTTATAAGCACCAATGTGCTTCTCTTAAAAATCAGATATTCTTTATTCTTCTAAAACTGAATTCTACTTACCTCATTTCTGCTGATGAAATACTAATTCTTGCCAATCTAGGTTAAACTTAATACGTTTAAGATTTGACCTTGATAAACTTAACCCAATCACTTTGTGTACTGGGTACCACCTAGGGAAGTACTTAGGTGGGGCAGGGGCAGAGGAAGTCCATTCCCCAGCCTAAATGCTCCTGGGGATAACTGTTGCTTGGTTTATCCTGTTTCCTACTGATATTCTCTTGGATTTAGTCAACTTCATCAGGTCTTTCTTGTCCTGTACTACCATCTTTTGCATTGTTTTTGGAACTGCCTTGGCCGATGGTCAATATTTCTATTCAATCTGCATACTTCTCAGGCAAATCACAGGTTCTTTTGGTCTAAAAGCTCCATCTCTGCCCTTTTTTAGAGGTTTGAAGAATCCTGTTTCTCCTGTAATACAGTGAAGCAAGACTTGCCAGGCCCCAGTCCCTGAAAATCAGACTCAGTCTATGATATTGTGATACTCAAGGGCCCCCT